TCTTCCAGAGCCAGAGGAGCTTTCTGTAGCAACACAGTAAACATCCCCCACATCCTGCAAACTTGGTGCAATATAATCTTCTATTCTTAATTTAGTCCTTTATCAAATGGGAACAAATTGATTATTCTCAGTAATTATGTTTATATGGCAAAGAACAGGAATTAAATAAGTGAATTATAGAGTATAGCTTTATATAGCTACAAACTGCAATCCTAAAAAAAAAAAACTTCATAAAATGAATAAAAGAAAATATCTCCCATATTTAAAGATTCTGCCTGTCTCCTCAAGATTGAGAGTTTAATTTCATAATCATTTTACTCTTTATATGAAGCTGTCCCTATAATGCAGATTTAATTTGCTATTATACTTTAAAGACTAAAATGGCATGAATTAATTTTGTGCACACGCTGGTTTTATCTTTTGAGCCATGGAGTGTTGTCGCAGACATTTTAACCATCTTTGGCATGTGCTAGAAAGTTGTTTATATAACCAGGGAAAATAGTTGTAATTTTCCTAGTGAGTATATAGGTACATATTGTGACATGTTCAAGGATCAAGAAACAAATCATTTAAAGTCTAAAATTCCCTAAATTTATTTGCTCATGAAACAAAAAGTAAACATGATTAAGGATTTGGGACCTTGGCTCACACAGACTTTGGTTGGAATGACAGCTCCATAACTTCTTTTGGATGACCTCAGACCAAGGACTTAACCCTTCTAAGCCTTAGCTTCCACATGTGTATAATGATGGTCATAAGAGATTCCACTTTAAAAAGATATCGAGCCTAAGCTGGAGGCAAGAATTAAACACTGCGATGGAGGTACAGCATTCAGTATAATGTTAGCCTGCATTCACCCAGGTCCCATACACCCTAGGGTTATTTCTGTTCACATTATCTCCTGGGGCACTTTCTCTCCCAATAGCTTGCATCTGTGGCTCTTTGATAGGAATTGTCCTCAGATTGTAGGCATTGGTTTGGCCTGCTGGCAATGTTAACACCTGGACATGTGTCTCCAGAGGCAGCCCTTAACCACTGACAGAAAGCTTCCGGGGAGTGAACCTCCAGCACACTCATGCCTGATGGGGACAGCTCTGCGGTGTGTCCTTCACTGTTTCATAGTTTCCCTGCAGAACTGAGTCAAGTCACTCTCTGTGGAACTGTGCCTGTTAAGGTATCCTAGCCTCGCTTCCTTCCTGTTTTTACCTTATTCCCACTCACTTATCAGTTTTCTTGTCAATGCTTCCTAA